AACAAGTACAGCATTATATTAAACGTTCACGGATCATGTATACATGTTTCTTGTTTACATTCACACTTAACAAATTATTTCAAACCATCTCTAATTGATGAATACCTATTTAGTTATGAGTAAAGGGTGAATGGCCCCACTTTGATATGATTCTGGCTGCTGAGAAGACAAATTAAACCCACAACAGGAAGAAAACAAAAATGGCTGTTAAAAAGTACCATTCAAGGATAATTTTTTACAGGGAAAATCATAGCTTTTTAGCTTGTAAGCCTCTGGCATGTGCAGCTAGCTGTCAGATGGGGACAGAAAGTGGCAGTCTTGTACGGCAGCTAGCTTTCAGATGGGGACAGAAAGTGGCAGTCTTGTACGGCAGTTACAGACTATAGCTATTTAACAATATATGGGAATCTTGGACATCATTCGACTAAACCAGTCACATTGTATGCTATATAAGACATCAAGCATCTGACTGACCAGCCATAATGAACAATAAACTCTAAAATTTGAAAATAGGCTGCATGGAAAATAAGCCTGGGAATTTGCTTGCAGTCAAACATCTTGAAAATAAGCCGGTTTCCAAAATAATCCAGCCTTGAAAAGATGTGTTGGATTCTTTGTACTCAAGATTGCAATCGGTGGCAGACCTTGCGAATTGGCAATCTTTTTGTTAAAAAAAAGAGAAATATCTATAATTATGTAATTTGCACACACCCATCCTTAAACTTTATTTCAGCAATAAAACTCCTGTCAGAATTCCATAAATTTTAAATGGTATTGAATAAGTATGCAATATAATACAACTATAGTATTGATCATTTAAAAGGTTTGAAAAGTAAAGACAACCTTGAAAATAACCTTTACACACCTTACTGGGAATCTAAAACGTTTCAGAAATAAGATGGCCTTGAAAATAGGCCATTTGATAAATAAGAATTGGATACCTTTAGCTAAAAACGAAAACAAGCTGTGGTTTATTTTAGGGTATCAAACTTTTGACTGGCCAAGAGACTGAGTCGGGTGACTGTTGGTGAATTATTTTGAACATTTGTATAGAATTTGGAGGTCTAAGGTTTCAGAAACCCGAACTGGCTCCGTTGCATTTACCCTGTCCTGTTACAGTGATGCCTCAGTGACCAACGTTAACCCTTGTTTACAAGGTTGTGTACACTTGGCAAGGGGATACCTGGACCCAAGATGCAAACAGTGTAATGTCTTTGGAGACAAAGACGATGAAAAAGGAGGGAGGTGTATGGTGGGATTGGGCTGGGTGACTGCCGTGACCAGGTAGCTCAATTGCTTAGGGCGTCAGTAAAGATTTTGGAATTAAGAAGTCCCAGGTTCAAATTTTAGTTTGGCCCCAATGAAGTGTAAAATACAGTCACATGATTTACAATGAAAATCTAAGATCTAATTGACTAGTTATACTGCATGCTGAAAATATATCATTTTGAAATGTTATGCCTTAAGGATCCCTGTTCCACTGTACTGTGTTTTTTCCTATATACAGTTACCTCCCCTTAACTTCTTTAAGGATCCCTGTCACACTGCACTGTCGTTTTTCCTATAAACAGTAACATCCCCTTAACTTCCTTAAGGATCCCTGTCCCACTGCACTGTGGTTTTTCCTATATATACAGTTACCTCCCCTTAACTTCTTTAAGGATCCCAGCTGTTCCACTGTACTGTGGATTGTCCTATATACCGTGACCTCCCCTTAATTTGGCTTTGGATATAACTGTAGCACAGTTGGTCCGTGACACTTCTGTTGACCAAATAGCTCAGTCGGTTAGAGCGACAGTATAACAAATTAAAGTTCAGTGTTCAAATCCTGGTAAAGCCATCTGAGTTTTTTTTACACCCAGACCACTATTGCTGATAAAAAAAATCGTTTATTTCATCTCCATATATATTTTCATAAAAGTTATACAAGGTATTCTTTTCTCTTCAAAAATGATTTATCAAAGTAAGAGTCATTCCAGAAAAAAATAAGTTTTGAATGCATTATAAGTTTCCTTTTTTGGCAGTAGTATGGGGATCCTTAAACAAGACAAGGATACTATAACATCAGTAAGGCGGACACAGATATGGTTACAAATTACGCTACATTTAAAAACTACATCATAAACTCGATTCAATCCTGTGATCTGTATTTAGGAAAATACAACAACAGCTGTTGATTTAACCATAGAAACCTTACATTATTAAAATAAATATTGACAAAAACAAAGATATAAATAGTTGGTCACATTGCCCCACCTTTATTTGTTACTAGGCGATCATATAATTCAACCTGTGTTTATGTAATTATTCTACATGTAGGTGAGTCTAAAAATAATGTTAACTCCTACCTGCAACATGAATGATATTTTTCAATTTTGTCTAAAAATAACAAAATAATGTCATTTTTCAGTTTAAGCTACGTCAAAACACAGCTGTTAATTATCCTGTGACAAAGCTAGTCATTAATTAATAACGAGACAGCAGGTAATTAAGTTACATGTTCTATACAGAGAGCTAGTGAAGCTGGAAACAACATCCCAGGTCTCCTGACGATGGTATCAAGGACAAAAGGGTCCTATAGTGGTATCTGCATGGTTATAATTTATAAATATACGATAACCTATTACAAGCTTAGTAATTGTAGTCACCGAAGGGTGAATTCTCCGGGTTACCATGTTATTGTTCTTACTGACGTTGATCAATTTTGTGTTCCATGACAGGTAATGACTTTAATTAACAATTATTACAGAATTTTGTTTTGCTTGTGTTTTACATCCTATTAACAGCTATGGTCATTTAAGGACGTGCCAAGTTTGATTTATTTGTGTTTTACATCCTATTAACAGCTATGGTCATTTAAGAACGTGCCAAGTTTGATTTATTTGTGTTTTATGTCCTATTAACAGCTATGGTCATTTAAGGACGTGCCAAGTTTGTTTTGTTTGTGTTTTACATCCTATTCACAGCTATGGTCATTTAAGGACGTGCCAAGTTTGATTTATTTGTGTTTTACGTCCTATTAACAGCAATGGTCATTTAAGAACGTGCCAAGTTTGATTTATTTGTGTTTTATGTCCTATTAACAGCTGTGGTCATTTAAGGACGTGCCAAATTTGATTTATTTGTGTTTTATGTCCTATTAACAGCTAGGGTCATTTAAGAACGTGCCAAGTTTGTTTTGTTTGTGTTTTACATCCTATTCACAGCTATGGTCATTTAAGGATGTGCCAAGTTTGTTTTGTTTGTGTTTTACATCCTATTAACAGCTATGGTCATTTAAGGACGTGCCAGGTTTGATTTATTTGTGTTTTATGTCCTATTAACAGCTATGGTCATTTAAGAACGTGCCAAATTTGATTTATTTGTGTTTTACGTCCTATTAACAGTATGGTCATTTAAAAACGTGCAAAGGTTTTGTTGCTGGAGGAAAGCCTGGGTTCCAACAGAAACACCACCGACCTACGGCCAGTACCTGGCGACTGCCCCACGTAGGTCTCGAACCCTCGACCCAGTGGTGCTAGTGGTAGCAGAATGTCAGATGCCTTAACCACTTGGCCACCGCGACCCAGTGGTGGAGGGCTAGTGGTAGCACAATGTCAGACGCCTTAACCACTTGGCCACTGCGGCCCCGCGACCCAGTGGTGGAGGGCTAGTGGTAGCACAATGTCAGACGCCTTAACCACTTGGCCACTGCGACCCAGTGGTGGAGGGCTAGTGGTAGCACAATGTCTGGGACGCCTTAACCACTTGGCCACTGCGACCCAGTGGTGGAGGGCTAGTGGTAGCAGGATGTCAGACGCCTTAACCACTTGGCCACTGAAGCCCCGCGACCCAGTGGTGGAGGGCTAGTGGTAGCAGGATGTCAGACACCTTAACCACTTGGCCATGTTAGCCCTTCACAATTACAGACAATACATGGTTTCTATGATTAATTTAACACATGTAGTTGTATTCCTAAATATTGTTTTGATGGTTGAATGCCGTGTCTGATGTGAGTTTTTAAACATAGGATTGTAAATTGCAACTAAATGAATGGAACGAATGATGCATTATTAACAAAAAGTATGAAGTGCATTATTTTCACAAGTGATACATATATCAATTCTGATCTTTAGAAGGTTTATTGTTGATGGAGTTTGATCTATAGTGTTGAATGTATTGTTTATGAATTAAATTTATGCTGATTATATTTCTGATCTACAAGATTGAATACATTGTTGGTGGAGTGTTTTAGAGAGTTAAATGCTGGTTATAGAATTGAAAATTACTATAATGCTATGAGCCTTTCCTCACAGAAATTACCAACTTTATCCTATAATAAGCCCACGGAGCCCACACATATCCTCAGATGATACTTAATACGATGAAATAACATTTGTTGGCATTCCTACTGAACTGATATATAGATATGGGTGGGCTTATTACCAGGCAAGGGGTAATTGTCAGTTTAATAGTATTGTACAGGTTATTAAGGAGTTTGAGGCTAAATATAATACTGGTTAAGTTGATTGTTTTGCTAGAACAAGTTTAATTGTTTGAATTAAATCGAATTAAAAAACCCTGTTTTGACATGTTTTAGTTCTTGTGGTTCCTCATTGAATAGGGTTTTATATTACATGTGGTTTCAGAATGAATTTCGATTTAGTTGAGTATATATGAGAATGAATATGAGGTTTGCTCGAGTCCGATATCAAATTGAATGCAGTAGTCTCACCAGATTGAAAAAAACAGGAAGAGTATAGAACTTAGAGTTACATAGGTAGAATTTCAAAGTATGGACGGGGATTAACATCATCCCCCCTTCTAGGGAAAACATGATGAATGACAGCAGCTTTTGGTTAAATATGGATTTTGTTTGAATGACTCAGATTTCGATACATCATCCTGGCTCCTAGAGAAATGAGATTTACCCTTTAATGTGAAATATTGTAGCACTCAATGAATTATCAAATAAATTTTAAAACAATTTTTATGTGAAAAAGATACAAAATTTTACTTACCATAGTATTCTGGTCCCTCATAGAAATCCAATGCCATAATAGGATAAAGATTGAGTAGAACTTTGGCAACCTCCAAACTCTCCGGTTTGTTCATGAGGTAAAGAAGGTGAAAGGGGGTTTCCCCAACCCCTCCCCTCTTGTTGAGGTCCCAGCATGCCTCGTGTTCATTAATCTGAATGAAGTCATCTTTATATTCTTGGAGAAGTTCATAATCTGTTTTGCTCTCCCAAACGGTCGAGTTCTACAAAAGGAAGTACATTTGTTGATTATGGACGTGTTGTATTACGCATGACGGGTGCAATCTTACGTGGAAAATTGATAGCCAATTGGATTTTACCATTGATGAAGGAATACAATAGACATATTTATTGTTGTATTATTGAGCATAATTATTACATGAACTCTGATGCAAGGAAGCTTGTTACAGGACAACAAACTAGTATGTGTTGGTATTTCTACCGAACTAAAACTGTGATAGACATGGGTGGGCTTATCACCAGGCATGGGCTTATTGGAGATAGTTCAAATAAAAAGTGTTTTAATCATGTTAACTCATTCACCACTGAAGTTTCATAATGAACTATTCCAACCTTTGAATTGGAAGAGTTCAAATGTGTCTTCAGGGGTGAATGAGTTAATTCATTTGTGTTGAAAACCAATTTTATCTGTTAGACAACTATGCATATTTTATTGCCTTTTCAATAGGATGGACACATATATGTGCAGGACTTCAGACATCAATAAATAAATGGACTTTTTTTTCATAGGAAATGGCTATTAAACACACTGCCACTTATAAAAGGTCATTAACTGTTCAAGATTAGTTAATATGTGAATCAAGTATATTTCACAATATTATATTTTCAAAAGTATAGTGCAAAATCATTAATCAGCAATCTGAAAATGCCAAAAATGATTAACTATCATCATGAGAATGCATTGTTATCGTTTTGAATATATAATATATATTGACTTTGTTAAATTGCATCGCCAAGATGAGTAGGAAATTACAAGGAATTCTTGGAATTCATGGAGACAGAGAGCCAATATGAATGATCACACACCTGCATTCAGCAAAGACCTTTCACCACTGGGAGCTATTTAACAGTCACAACAAGTGCAAGTCAGGTGGGAAAGTAACCTAATGCCATCAATGAGTTACCACAGAGAAAAACATACAACCAGTTTTTGCAGTTTAGTCTATCTATTAATCAATTAATTTAAACATTCGACTTTGTTTGAACATCACATTGAATTTAATCAATGAATATTGAGAACTAATATATATGTACTAATGATTGGTTGATATTTCTGGGTGGGCAAGTTTTGGTTGCCAATATCATAACAGAGACGATGTGGTTTCTCAGGAGAAGTTTGTACAGGTCAATATAATCCCAGACTGAGTTGCCATTTATGTATTTGATGTATCATTCAGTATTGAGGCCGGAGTTAACTTGAGGACATGGGTCTGCAGCTATCGGGATGGGTTGTAGGAATATTCCCACAGAACATGAACAAGACATCAAAAGCAGAACAATAATCAGTGTTTTGTCTTGGGACTTTTTGGGTCCAATAACGGGCCCAATTCCCAATTGAAACTATTTCATATTTATGCCTCATTCCTAAAATTTGCAGTTTACTCTTAATTTTTTTCTTCCCAATTGGTATACATTCTCCCAAAAATGAGACAAAAAGCCCCATCCCATTGGGAAAAAACCCCACTTATAATTCCCCAACTCTCTCTACTTTGGAGGGAGACTTCCAATTTTGGACTTTGGGATATTTTTCGCCATCAATTTGCTGAATTATTCCTATAGCCTAGGATCTAAAGATTTCATCTGAAAAAACCCCCTCAATAAATAAGTGTTATTTTCCCCCTTGCAGGTTACATTTCCTCTATGTTTTTAATTTTGTGTACACAGAATATCCCCAAATTTCAAAAGGTTGGCAAGTATGCAGAACTCTATAGATGTTTTTCAAGGAAGTATAAAAGTGCCTTTACATTGTTAATGTACAGGATACATCAAAACTAAACATATATCAGTGTAATGGCCATTGTATATGTCAATCTGATTCACAGGAGTATTTGAGCTTATAAGCTTACAGTACTAGTAGGCAGTACAGAAATTGATTTAAAATTTTCCGGCGGTGACCCCATTTTGGAGCAGCTAGTCTTTCATAATCCTATTACAAAATAGAAATCGTCGGCTTCACAATACAAATGGATTCAGTTTTATGTATGCCATATATTTACCACTTCAGTTTTCATATCTGTGAATATTTTATTTTCCAAAATTATTTGTGCTTTGAATGAACTGTTTTTGATTTCAGAATATTTCATTGTACAGATTGTAGACCTATACACAAGAAGAGGCCTTGGTGGACGAGTGGTTGTAACCCTTTCACCACTGTAGACCATAATAGACTCATCCAGATGAATGTATGGTACAGTCTACTCAAGCTACCCAGGGCTGAAAGGGTTAAGGCATCTGACCCTCTATGATCACTGCACCACTAGTTTGAGGCCTACATGGGGCAGTCACCAGGTACTGGCCACAAGTCATTGGTTCTTCTCCAGGTACTACAGTCTTCCTGCACTACCAAAACCTGGCATGTTATTAAAGGTCTACACAGCTGTTAATAGGGTGTAGAGCACAAACAAACCAAATGAAACCTACAAAAGGAATTGGGCAACAGTCAAATTAAGTCAATTCACGACATCTGTTTAACGAAATCTCATCTTAATAATTCTTATCATGTTTATATGATGCTACAGACAACTGTAGAAAACATAAAAGATGAGGCAATACTGAGAACCTTGCACCTATCGCCTGCTGCTGAGCTGCATTAACTGGGTGAAGATGCAAAGAGTGTAAAGGAAAGTGTGTAAAGGAAAGAGTGTAAAGGAAAGAGTGTAAAGGAAAGAGTGTAAAAGAAAGAGAGTAAAGGAAAGTGTGTAAAGGAAAGTGTGTAAAGGAAAGAGTGTTAAGGAAAGAGTGTAAAGGAAAGAGTGTAAAGGAAAGAGAGTTAAGGAAAGAGTATAAAGGAAAGAGTGTAAAGGAAAGAGTGTAAAGGAAAGAGCAAAAATGCCTCCAACTAATCTAACATCGAACTTGGCCAAGCCCTTAAGGCATTTAACCCTGTGACCAAGTTTGAAGAAAATCGGTTAACATTTGTTGTAGTTATTATACGGAAACGAAGCATGACAGACAGACAGACAGACAGACAGACAAACAAACACACCCAAATCAATATCCCCCGTCTTGGTGAAAGCGGGGGATAAAAATGAGAGTATATATAACTTATGATAAGTGTCCATTATTTTCTTTTATTATACTTTTGTCACTTTTTTTGAAAATAAAAAAATATATGTACATACATATTTATATATAATATGTTTCTTCTTTTTCTCTCTAAAACATTCAAAAGATGACATCCTTGTCACTTCCTTTGTCCTTGGAAATATATGACAGGTATGCAATATAAAATCACAAGTTTATGTTTTTACAAAAATTATGAATTTGTACAAAGCTGTCTCGACATTTTCACTGATTCCCTTTAAATCTTTGTTAATATTTCTGAACCTGAATGGGGAAAGCCCTGTAATATTAATCATTACGATTTTCGCCTCCGAGATTTAGTTTAACATGAACAGGACTACTACACTGGTTAAAGGTCCTCTGGTTTTATGGACAAGCACTCATGTACATACAAATCTGAGACAAAGACTCCAGAACTGTTATTGTGGTTTACATGAGAAAGAAATGTCTAAATAATATATTCGCATGAGTAAACTTTTAAACTTTAACGATTGTTACAATATTGATTTTCCTAGCGAGATTGTCCCAAATTGTAATGACAAAAAAACTACTTCCCAAGCCAACTGTATTTTACATATATAGTCATGTCTCTCAATTTACTTGGAAACAACATAGTTTTAAAGGAACTTCGGCAAAATGAAATTTTATGTATGTTTCCCATCGAAAAAAAGCATGACCCATCTGAAACATCTATAGCCAAGATTCAGAAAACTACATTTGATTGACCTAATCCATTTGGTAGAACGACATTTACTGACACTGCATTCCACGAATACTTAAACATTGTTAAAAACCTTTAAACTCATTCACCCTGGAATTTCATGCTGAACTATTCTAACCTTTGAATTGGAAGACTTCAAATGTGTCTTCAGGGATGAATGAGTTAAAATATAATTTTAATACATGCTACATATATTCGTCGATAAATTATTCAAGTGAACGTTTTTCAAAATACTGATTACAAATGTTTTGACCAATATACCTACAATGTACCCTTACCTGACACCAAAATCCAAATGGAATAGGAAACACAATATATAATTTCTGGCCTTAGATTAAATGTACTGAGAAATGAACAAGCTATGGAATATGTCAGATCTGTATTGATAAGAAATTATTACAACAGAACTTAAATCAGAAGCTGAGATATACTGTATACCAAGAAATGAACAATAAGCCACTGCAAGCAATGGTTAACAAGGCAAAGTATTGCAAGGCAATCCATAGTCCCCTACCGGTAATGATTTCTGTATTTAACAAACAGTACACTTTTGTCAGGAAGCATAGGTCACAGAAAAGTCATAGTGACATAATTCTTGCACTCCACCATCCAAAGATGTCCTTGTACACCAAATCTGGTTACTTCTGGTGAAAAGTTTTGAAGATATATATGCCCCCGACAAACTTTTTTAAAAGTTAAAGTCAGAGTCAAGTCATAGGTCACAGTGACCTAATTCTTGCACTCTGAACTCCGCCATCCCAAGATGTCCTTGTACACCAAATCTGGTTACTTCTGGTGAAATAGTATAGAAGATATGGCCCAGAAAAACGTTTTTCAAAAGTTAAAGTCAAATGTCAAGTCATAGGTCACAGTACCCCTACAGGTGGGGGATCGGGAAAAGAATACACCTGCTGTTACCCACTGCATGTATCGCAGGAGGCAACTAATGCGGGAACCCCCTGCAGAATTGGGGATTTGCTTTGATGTCCTCTATTTGGGGACACAGAAGCGATCAAAATAAATCTGCTGCACCCATTGCAATATTTGGGATCTTTATCTTTCTTTCTGTTTCTAATTACTACCTTTTATTTCCTAGCGCCCCGGTTGGCAACACCTCACTTGTGGCCTTAATGTTGAGCATTCGCCCAGGTGAGGAAGGCAATGGGTTCTGTCCCAAGGCCAGGACATACCAAAGTCCTA